TATGGTAATGAGGGCCCGGCAGAGCCCGGGGGCTGCCCCCCCCCCCGCCCCCGCCCCTGCCAGCAGTAACTGAGCATCTGCTAGGCCCACCGTGGGCTCAGGCGCCGTCCCTCAGGGTAGGAGGTTTTCAGAGCGAAAACCAAACGCAAGCGGGCTCAGAAGGTGAGCGAAGGCCGCAGAGAGGACTGGTGCCCACTGTCAGCACCCCCTCTGCGCGGTGCCCTCGTTATCGGAGCACCCCTCCCCAGGCTCGCAGGCACTCATCCCTGTGTTGGCATGTGTCCCCTTGCAGCCTGCAGCCTCCTGGGCACCCCAGCTTCCTTATCCCGGGTCCCAGCACTGACGCCAGTCCCCGTAGGCCTGAGGTGTGACTGAATGAATGAATGAACAGATGAATGGACGAATTGACGGTCGGGCTTTGAAGGACCAGCGAGCAGCAAGTCACCTCAACACCGCTCATTCCCTCCTTCCCCCAGGTGACCCGACTCTGCGACCTCTCGGTGGAAGGGGACTCAGTGACCTCCGTGGGCTGGTCTGAGCGGGTCAGTAGACGGGCCCATTCCCTGGTTGGGCGGGGCCGGCAGGGGGCGTCTCAGTGGGCCTCACTGCAGGGGCCTCCGCGGTGTGTGAGGGCCCGGGAGAAGCAGAGGAGCAGAACCCCACCTGGTGGCCTTGTCCAAGTCCTGGGACGGGGTCTGTTCTCAGCCTTTGCCCAACCTGGTAGAGGTGACTAGTGACAGGGCTACCTGCAGCCCCTCCAGAGCCCCACCCCACACCCCAGCCTGTGGGTAGCCCGGGCTCAAGCAGCCAGCGCCATACGTCGAAGGACGTGGGTCTAAGTGTGCGTTGGCTGGGTTTTGACAAACCCATGCATCATGTGACCATCTCCTCGGAAAGTTCCGAGGGGGGTTGTCACCTTGATTCAAAGAGACATGCGTTAAAGGTTTTTTAAAGAAATGTCCCCAAGGGCATTTCATATCTTGGTTCTCTGGCAAGTGTCAGCTGTTTTGGCTCAAATGAACTCATAAAAATTCTCAAAGTGGGGTGTGGGGTTCCTAAGGCCTTGCAGTGAGGAATAAGAGGGAGAGTCCAGGGAAGCCTGGTCTGCACCCCGGGGTCTGACGCCTGCTCTCACCTTTGTCCCCACTCCTAGGGGAACTTGGTGGCCGTCGGCACACACAAGGGCTTCGTGCAGATCTGGGACGCGGCTGCGGGGAAGAAGCTGTCTATGCTGGAAGGCCACACGGCGCGCGTTGGTGGGAGCCCAGGGTCCCAGCGGGCGAGCGTGGTCCCCAGCACCCCCTGGCCCCCAGGGGCCAGGCGTCAGCCTCACCCCGCCCTCTGCCCGGCCTCCAGGGGCACTGGCCTGGAACGCGGAGCAGCTGTCATCCGGGAGCCGGGACCGCATGATCCTGCAGAGGGACAGCCGCACCCCACCCCTGCAGTCTGAGCGGCGGCTGCAGGGCCACCGGCAGGAAGTGTGTGGGCTCAAGTGGTCCACGGACCACCAGCTCCTCGCCTCCGGGGGCAATGACAACAAGGTAGGCTTCGGATTGCCCTACCTACCCAGCCAGCCCCGTCCAGAGAGCGGGGGAACGAGGGTACGCCCCAAGGGAGGACAATGGCAGGCTGGGGTGAGGCCATTCATCATTCCCCGCGGGGACCATAGCTGTCCAGAGCCTCACAGCCACTGTCCCCCGCACCTCCAGCTGCTGGTCTGGAACCACTCGAGCCTGAGCCCCGTGCAGCAGTACACGGAGCACCTGGCGGCTGTGAAGGCCATCGCCTGGTCCCCGCACCAGCACGGGCTGCTGGCGTCTGGCGGCGGCACAGCCGACCGCTGCATCCGCTTCTGGAACACGCTCACAGGGCAGCCGCTGCAGTGCATTGACACGGGCTCCCAGGTGTGCAACCTGGCCTGGTCCAAGCATGCCAACGAGCTGGTGAGTGCAGGGCAGGGCCCTGGGGTGCATGGGAGCAGGAGCCCTGGGCCCCCGGAAAATCTCCTCCAGTGTCCTGGGGTGAAGCGAGGCCCCTGCCACCCAGGTCACAGAACCAGATCTCGGTCTGGGAGTACCCGCTGACCACCAGGAGAGGCTGGCAGAGCTCTGGGTGCAGTGTGGGTTCCCTGTCACCCACGAGTCATCAACCAGAGCGCGGGGGCAGGAGCGGGTAGTTCTGGGATGCGGAGCAGGCCTGGCTCTCCTTGCTTCTTGGCGGGGTGTCTGGGGGAGTCAACAGCTTGCATCTGAATCGGGGGCTGTGCGAGGAGGCCCCCAATTCCGACAGCCCCTGTGCACCCCCAGGTGAGCACACACGGCTACTCGCAGAACCAGATCCTGGTCTGGAAGTACCCGTCACTGACCCAGGTGGCCAAGCTGACCGGGCACTCGTACCGGGTCCTGTACCTGGTGAGTCTGCGCTCCTGGGAAGGTGGGGTGCAGATCTGGCCACGGCCCCCGTCGTCTGAGCCTGGGGGGTCATCCTGGCCAGCTCCCGGTCTGCCGGGCAGACAGGTTCTGCTTTCAGACTCTGGTTGTGTCGTCACTGGGAGTCTGCTTTCCCGAAGTCCCCAGGCCTGTGAGGATGTCCACGCATGTGTCTTTACCAAAACACACATGAAGCAGCCGCAACTTATCCCCGACCTACCTCCCAGAATCTGAGGCTGGCTCACCAGAGACCCCCTTGCACCTTTCTGGGGCCCCACCCGAAACACACTCCCTCTTCCAGCATTTCTGTCTCTTTCCAGAAACTGTTTTGTGTGTAAATAGATGTGTACTCTGCCGGAGGGCGGAGACTAGAGGAATCCCCTGGGGCGGGGGCGGGGCGTCCTCAGCATTCAGCTTTGGTGGGGACCCTCTCCCCGCCCCCCATCATCAGCTCAGCGCACATGGCCAGCTGCAGGGCCCAAGGACGATGGGGACCTCTCTCCCGCAGGCCATGTCCCCTGATGGAGAGGCTATCGTCACCGGTGCTGGAGACGAAACCCTGAGGTTCTGGAATGTCTTTAGCAAAACCCGTTCAACAAAGGTAAGGGGGCGGGTGTCAGCACCAGGTGTACCCCATGCGTGTTCGCTCAGCTCGTCTCGGGGGTGTTGCCCAGTACCACCCCAGCAGCCTCCTCACCAAACTCTGCTGTAACTTTCCCCGGGGATCCCCACATGCCCCCTCTGCTGCTGCATCACTGGCATCCCAGCCAGGGCGCCCTGGGCACTGCGCCCCCGCATGTGTCGGGGCGCTGGGGACACACGGTGCCCGCTCGGGCCCCTCCAGCCCGAAGCCTTGGTTCCCTGCACCGCGGCTCAGCGGCCCCTCCTGTGTGCCCCACAGGAGTCCGTGTCCGTCCTCAACCTCTTCACCAGGATCCGGTAAACCTCAGGCCATGCCGCCCGGGCAGAGGCCACCGTCCTCAGCGCACGGACCCTCCCTCCCCGCACACGTCCCCAGAGGAGAAGCCGGGGTGGGCGGGGAGCCGGGCCTGGAGGGGCCCTGAGGATTCTCATTAAAACCTGATTGCGAACCCTGTCCGGTGTTTGGGGCGGGGACGTGGTCGGGCCAGCGGCTCGGGGCTCCAGCTCCCTCCGCACCGCGCCACGGCTCGGACGGTCAGCGCTCCGAGCGGGATGGACGCCTCCCTGGACCCCTGCCCGCTTCCCTTTGTGCTTGTCACCGCCCCGTGGGGCTGCATGCTCTTCCGGAAGCACGCTCACCGCTGCTGCCACCGCCCGTCACAGGACAAACAGCCGGACGCCAGGCCAGTCGGCCGGGGGAGGTCCCAGCAGGAGGACGGTTCAGGTCAGCCCACGGATCGAAGGGACACTCCTGCCTGACAGGTCTCTTTTCAGCTGCCTCTGCTGTCCCTGAACCGGCGGCCATCTGGTGACGTTACTGGTGGCTAGGTGTCAGGAGCAGGCCCAGGCAGGCTGTACGCCAGAGGTCATCTCGAGATGGACTGTGCAAGGAAGACTGAAGTTGGGTCTGCTCGCTGTCACGTACTTGCCCTGAGCCCACACCATCCTTGTCACCGACAGTGTCACAGCCAAGCCCCGGCCCCGGGCAGGACTACGGTTTTGCAGCTTGCCGGGCGCGTAGGCCTAAGAACAGCGCCTCACCCTCCTCAGCCCCTTCCGCACCGGGCCATTTTTTTGTCCTGTCCATCTGCACCGATGGCCACGGGAAGCCAGGAGGGAGAGCGAGGGGAGAGCGCCCAGTGGTCGCCCTGGCGGCTTCTCGGGCTGACTCCGACCCGGCCCCACCCTGTCCTCTGCCCTGGCCCTGAGCTGCATCTGGGCATCACCCCCTCCGGCCTCATCTCAGGACTTGGAGAAATCGGAGGAGGGCAGGTGGTCCCGGGTGCAGATTGGGCAGAGCAGGCCTGGCCAGGGCGGGGGTCACCCCGGCTCTGCTCGGAGGCCCCACTCCAGTGTCCTCCCCGCAGTCGGCCACATGTATGCATGTGTATATATGTATTTGTGACTTTTCTTTGAGTTTGTTTTGTGTTTTTGTAGAGGGGTCCTAGAAATGTTTCAGGCCAGCTGGGGAAGGGCACGGCCTGCCCACCGCGCCTAGGGGAGACGCGACACAGTTTCTGAAGCCCTCACGTAGGAGGGGCAGTCAGCCGGAACCTGCTAGGATGTAGGTCCTGCCCCACGGCCCATCCCAGCATCTGCCTGCCGCAGGGGACAGCCAAGGACAGTGTACATAGACGTCTGTCCTTAGATCGCTTGAGATTGTTGTTGTTTTTTTTTTAATAAGAAATGGTCCGTCTCTACCGTACCTTTATCCTGTACCGCTGCCAAAGAGCCCGGGAGCTGGCTCTGCCCAGATGGGACCCGAGCTTAGGGGTTGGGACAACGGGCGCGAGATGCACGCCCCTCACCTGCGCGTCTGGCAGGGAGGGCGCCCGGTGCAGAGCGAGCCTCGTTCTCGCGTCACGCGGTGCTGTCGTTAAAGCAGTTGTGCGCCGTGCACGGCTGGGGCTGGCCGGCCATCTGCGTCTTTGGTCCCCGGCTGGGGTGGCTGACAGCTGGAGTCACACTCGAGGCCTCGAGCCAGCTGAACGTCACAAACCAGAGGTGGGCAGCCGTCTTTGAGGGACCCCAGTGTCCCTGGATTCGTGGTCTGGCAGGGTGAGGAGGATGTGCATCGCGCCAGTCTGGGGCACAGCTGGGAGGTGGAGGCCTCTGTGTGCAGTGGGGGGGGGGGCAGGGGGAGGGCCGATGGGGCTGCGCGAGTTCTCAGGCAGGGCAGGTGCGCTGCCACCTCCACCTGACGGGGCCAGGGGCAGCAGCGGGCCATCGCCCACCCAGCATTCGCATTTGGGCAAGGCTGAGGCTGGGCGGGGTGCGCAGGTCTGTCTGGGGTGTCTGCTGATCAAGTGTTGATTTCATGGGAACAGGGAAACAGTGGGTGAGGGAGAGGCCAGGAGACCTCACAGCTGCCCGTGACTGGTGGAGCACCCAGCAGGCCCTTCCCCCCAGGGCAAGGTCCCCGTCCTGGGCACTGGGGGCAACAAAACACCAGATCCCAAGCCCTTTGTTCATGGAGTTTGTCGTGGTGAGAGAGACGTGTGTGCTATGTCACAGGGGTCGGTGGCTTTGGGAAAGGAAAGCTTTGAATGTGGGGCTCGCTGCAAACCTGACATTTGGGCAGGGGCCGAAGAAGAGCAGGAGACACCTGGGCAGATGACTTTCCAGGCAGAGGGCACAGCCCATGCCCAGGCCCTGGAGCGGGACTGTGCCTCGCGTGCTGGAACAGCTGGGAGGCCCTGGTGGCTGGAGCAGAGGGAGCGAGAGGGAGAGAGGAAGGGGACGGGCAGGTCGTGCAGGGCCTTGTGGGCCAAGGCGGGCGCCCCGGTGTGTGCCGAGCTGGGAAGGGATGTGTGGAGACGTGACTGACGGTGCGGTGCAGGGATGCGGAGAGGCCCCCAAGGAGGCTCTACTGGATGGGTGATGGCATGACTGGCCGGGACCACATGGAGGTGGCGACAGGGGCAAGTCCTGGACTGTCACTTTAAATTTGTGGTGAAATATACATAACTTACAGTTTACGCCCTTGAAATGCACAGTTCAGTGGCATTTGATGCCTTCACAGTGTTGTGCACCTATGTTTAATTCTAGAACACTCCACCTCGGGAAAAAAACCCCATCTCCGTTAGCTGCCCTCCCCAGCCCCCGACAACCATGAACCCCCTCCCTGTCTCTGTATGTGCCTGTTCTGGACATGTCACATAAATGGAATCACACACCGTGTCTGGCGTCTCACTGAGAAAAAAAGTCCACGTGGCGTCAGCACATCGTGCCGTTTCACGGCCAAGTGACGTTCCAGCGTGTGGGTGGGCCTCGCTGTGTTCATTCAGTCAACGGCCATTGGGGTTGTTTCCACTTTGGTTATTGTGAATCACGTGGCTGTGAACATCTGTGTGGAGGGTTTTGCTCTGATATGTTTTGAAAATAGATGAAGACTGGATGAGTGCGGGGTGAGGAGGCAGGTACTGGGGGCGGGAGGGCAGTCCCGGCCTGAGCACCTGGAAAGGCGAGGCCGAGGATGCGGGAGTGAAATTCAGAAGCTCCGTGTGATTCGGGGACCCATGCGGTGATGTGGGGAGGGGGCTGAGGAGCAGTGGGAGCGCTGAGTCCCGAACCGCACAGGCCCAGCCCCAGCTCCTTCCTTCACCCGCTCCTGCTGGGGCAGGAGGGTGTGGTCTGGACAGGGGCCAGGGCCCCCAGCACCGTTGCCAGGACACCAAGAGGTGGCCTTTGTCGCTGTCAACAATGGCCCCACAGCCCTCCTAGGCAAGAGCAGCCGGGAGCCCAGAGGCAGACATGCAGACCCTGAGGCGGGAGGCTGCCCGGTCCTGCGTCCCCCAGGGGACCCTCGAGGTGGACTTCCCGGCATCTCTCTATAGGTGAGTGAGTGCCTGTCCTGCCCCCAGACTCGGCCTCTGGGTCTGGGGTGTGACAGGGTTTGGTGTGGCTTCTCCCAGTGTCACTGATGCTTCCTGAAAGGGGCGCTGCCTGGTCCTGGCTGCTGCTGGCATCGCCTCTCGCCGGCGGTCAGAGCAAGGCAGGCTTGGAGACCGGCGGGGGTGAGGGAGGAGCGGGGTGTCACCGGTGCTTGCTGCTGTGCATGGCACGCACACCCACACAGCACGCTGAGGAACTAACTAGGGGTCCAGGAGTGTCCTGGGACGGCTGTGACACAGCACCACAGGCCAGGCAGCTCAAACACCAGAAGTTTATTCTTTCCCAGTTCTGGAGGCCAGAAGCTCATCCAGGATCAAGGCTAATTCCTCCCAAGGCCGTGAGGGAGAACCTGCTCCGTGTTCTCCCCGGTTCCGACGACCCACTGGCAGTCCTTGGTGTCCCTGGTCTTGTCGACGCACCACCCCATCTCTGCTTCAGTCTCCCCGTGACCTCTCGTGTGTGTCCAGAGTCCCCTCTCCCTACAGGGACACTGGGGCCCATCCTAACCCACTGTGGCCTCAGCATCTGCCCGCTAAGACCCTGTTCACATCAGGTCACGTTCTGAGGTTCCCGGTGGATGTGAATTTGGGGGGACACCCAACCTACTAGACCACCCATTAACAGGCGATTCCCAGTCAGTTACAGTGAATATTCAGCAGCAGTGAAAACAAAAGCTGATCCATGAGTGCTCTTCACGCCACTCCATTTCCAAGAAAATTTTAGAAAGGGCAGCAGGCTCCCACGTTTCTGTCCCGGAGGGCGCACACACTGGCCACTTCTGGAAGGCCGCAGGGATGATCGGGGCAGTCCAGGCTGGCGGCTGGGGCGGGCGGACAGTCATTGTATGTTCAGAGCACGGGACACCCCAGGCGATCTTGATCTGTCCCTCTGGGTGGCAAACCCAGTCTGCGTCAGATCCCTGAGGCTGGTGTCCAGAACCGACCCGGCTCATCCCACCTTTTCTGAGGCGTGTTTCTGGTTTTGATGCCGAGCGAGGACTGAGCTGGGCTCCGCGGCAGAGATGAAGGCGTCCAGTCAGTGGCCTGCTGGGGTCATCCTGGGGCGCCAGCTCCACCCCAGGCGAGTCCCAGGACCGAGCTCGTGGGAAAGAGCATACGCTCGTCTGTCTCTGGGCAGGAGTGCTGCCAAGATGCCCTCTGGGGGGAAGCGCCATCCACGCTTTCTGCTTAAGCAGGTTTCCCTGCAGCTTCGCCAACTTCGGGGTTTTCCGCTTTTCCTCATGTTTAGTTTTAATGGGAACTTACTGAGGTTTGATTTTTGCCATCAGCCCGTTTTCACTAACCTGTCTGCACTGCGGCCTCTCTGTCCCTTAAACCATCCTCTGCTGCCTCTGGGCCTGTGCATGTCACTCTCTCCACCTGGAGTGGGCCACCACCTCCTTGGGGAAGCCCTGGTGCTCGCAGCCTAGGACAGGCTCTGGCACCAGAGGCCCCGGAACAGGCACAAATGTGTAGCTACCTAGTTTGTCCTTTAACTGTGAGCTCGTTCTCACCCCCAGCTGGTCCCTGATGACTGGGTGGATGATGACATGACCCCCCATGGTCTCCTCAAGCCTCTTGCTCAGCCGAGACCATGTCTTCCCGGTGTGCCTCCAGGCCGGGGGGGCTTCCCAGAGGAAGGGGCCTGCACGTGAGAGGCTGGACAAGGACTTTAGGAGCCCAGGAGTGGCCACAGCTTTTGTACCCCATTGCCTGGAGTCCCCTGGGGGAGAGTCGAGGAGAGCTGAAACGTTGAGAGGTTCATGGGAGGACGCGACAGAGGAGAGGGCCTCCCACTCTGGGACTCGCAGCTGAGATGGAGAAGGCCCCACAGGGCAGGCCAGGCCTTCGCTCCCTCGATGCCGCGACGTGGCAAAGGGGGTAAAAGGCCCATCCTAGCGACGAGCAGAGGACAGCCCCAGGCTCAGCCTGTCCCCTCCCTTGGCCCTCAGTGATGACTACCTATCCCTGGCGGGGCCCCGCTGGACGCCGGCCATCAGACAGGCAGTGCGCTGGAAGTACACGCCCATGGGACGAGACGCGGCCGGCCAGTCATGGTACACAGGCCTAACCAACTCGGACTTCCGCGAAGCCTGGTACACGCTCCCCAGGTCCCTGGACAGCCCCTACCGTGAGGCTTACGCCCACTGGCAAGGATGCTACGGCCACCGGGAGCGCAGCATGCCCTCGGGTGAGTGCCAGGCCTGCCCGCCCTGATCCGGGCCAGCCCCAAGGGAGAGCAAGGGCCAGAGACGACCTCCCTCCCACTCTCCCGCAGCCTACACCCAGCACCTCCGGGAGACCGCCTGGTACGACCCCATCGTGCCCACCCAGCACAGGGCCCCCAGCACGCGGTGGGGGACCATGCTGTGGAAAGACAGACCCATCCGGGGCAAGGAATATGGTGAGGCCAGGGTCGCGGGCACTGGGGGTGAAACTGCCTGGGGCCAGGAAGCTGGGGCCAGGAGGTGACCCAGGTCCTGCCCCACAGTGGTCAACAGGCACCGGTACGGGGTGGAGCCACTGGGCAGGGTATCCGACTACGTGCCCGACCTGTCAGCACAGCAGCGGCCACGCTACACCACCCAGAACTACCGGCAGTGGGACCTGGAACCCTACTGCCCGGCCATCGGCCAGCGGCCCCCCGCTGTCCACACGCCCACCCTCTGATAAAGACTGTCCCTCTGCGGCGACGCCACGCCTCTTCCTGGGCTTCTGTCCACATCTGGGGCCCAGGGTGCTGGGTGGTCAGGTAAAAAAGGGAGTCTCCAGCAAGTCCCCAGCGGCACAGGTGCAGGGCAGCCACTGCCCTCCCCGCCCGGGGCCCAGGCAGACAGCTAAGGCCAGTCCTCGTGTGGGCGGCTCTTTATTCACCATCAGCAGCATCCTGGGAGCAGGGAGCCGAGGCTGGGCTCCCCATCCCCCGCTCCAGAAGGGCTCAGCGACAACGCTGTCCCTGAGTGGAGACCCCAGCCGGGCCCCAGGACCTACACACCCTGCCTCACGCAACATGGTACCCCCGGTTGTCCGTTAGGCCGGGGCACCCCTAAACCCGTGGGCCCCTGGATACCAGAGAGCCTAGCCAGCTATCGCCCCAGCCGGGGTCCTGCCCTCACCCGCTGACTCCACAGCTGGGCCAGGAAGGAGGGGTGGGGACCTGAGAGCAGGGCGTGGAATGTGCGTGGTCGCAGTCCTTTGCACTGGGCAGGAGGCCTTGGGGGGACGTCAGGGCTGGGCTCCAGGGGCCCCTGCAAGAGATGGGTGGGTCGGTGAGCATGGGGCCTGCCCTGGCCCTGGCCCCGGCCCTCCCCCGCATGGCCAGGTCGGGGTCTGGGGGTTGGAGGGAAGCCTACAACTCACAGCTACGCAGGCGGATGGGCCAGATGAGGAGGCTGCACAGACAGAGGGTGGCGGCCACGCCCACGCCGCCCGTCACGGCCACCATTACCCAGTGGTAGAAGCCCACGCAGGCCTTGCAGCAGAGCTCCGAGCTGGGGTGGGGGGACAGCGCAGGTGAGCGGGACACTTGGCTTCCTCCAGCCTGGACCTCCCACACACGGCCAGGTCGCCCCACTTGAGCTGCAGGCAGCGCCTTCACAGCACTGAACCTCTTCTCTCCCACGCCCAATACTGCAGCCAGTGCAGACGCTTCTCACCCTGGTCCCCAAGCGCCAGCCCTCACTTCAGTCACCAAGGGCACCTTTGAGCACCCAAGTCAGGCCCTCCCACTCCTCGGCCCATAGCCCTCCGCCAGGCCCTGCCTGGCCTGCCCTGTCCCCTCCCCACACTCACGGACGTCCTCTCTGTTTGTCCAGCATGCCAGGCATGGGCCTGCCCCAGGGCCTTTGCACTGGCTGTTCCTCCTACTTGCCTAGAATTCACTGATTCCCACCAGGTCTCAGGACCAATGCTGCCGCCTCCAGGAAATCCTCCCTGACCTGCTGCCCCAGCCGGGCCTTTGTGTGTGGTGTCCTTCATGCCCCTGGCCACTAGTCTGGACCATGTTTGTGTGACTACCATGGCTGGCATTGCCCCCAGCTCCATGAGGACAGAGGACCAGGCTGGCTCTGGTTCCCAGATCCTGGCCTTCCACAAGGCAAGCACGTGGTGGTCTAGAACCATCGGTCCGGAAGCCCAGGTCTGCGTGATGTGGATTCTGGCTTCCCCATAGCCCTGCCCACTCACATTCCAATACAGCTGTAGGCCGTGTCCTCAGCCCCCGCTAGCAGGAGTCCGGGGTTTGCTGAATAGTAAGTAAAGTGCCCGAGGTCACGGCCAGATGTCCCTGGCCTGCGACATCCACCAGGTGGGATCTCTTGTCCACACCAAACACCCAGACCTGGAGCGGCACCTGCCACACAGCACATGCTCAGTACTCTCTCTCGAATGAATGAATGAATGAATGAATGAGTCGCACTCACGAGCAGGGATGCAGACCCTGGATGGCCATGACTGCCAGCCCATTGGCCACTTTATCCGAGAAGCTCATGGCGCCATACACGAAGGCTCCACTGTGCTGAGGGGACACAGGCGGAGAGGTCAGCACCGTGGCCTGGGCCCCGGTCCCCACCCCCACCAGCCCTGCCCAGTAGCCCTACCGTGTGGGGGCCAATGAGGTCAGCCGTCATGGCCAGGGAGGTGACGAGGATGGTGGCACAGCCCATGCCCAGCAGCACAGCCACTGTATACACAGCCACACCCAGCCTATCTGCCAGCGCCACCCAGGCCGCGAAGGCCAGGATCAGCAGGAGGCCCGTGAAGTAGGTCATCTGCAGAGGAGACGGGCATCAGGCCTGCCTCGCTGGGCGGCTTGCGAGCCCAGTGCCTGCCCTCTGGCCTCCGTCCACTGCCACCCCCAACCCCAGAGAGTGAGCGGGTCAAGCTGCACCATCCCTAAAGAGCCCCCAGCTCTGACCACACCAGGGAGCCGACATCCTAGAGACAGGTGCCTTGATGTCTAAGTGCAAATTAAGTAAAATCAGACAAAATGGGGTATTCAGTTCCTCGCTCACGCTAGCCACATCTCAGGTACTCAAAAGCCACCGTGGATGACATACTGGTTGGCAAAGAAAGTTCTAGAGCTCTGCAGGCCTGAGACACTCAGAAGCCAGGATTCTAGAACTCAGGTCCCAGACACGAGGCCTCTACAAGGTGTGGACGCCGTGGCCTGGGATCACCTGGCTTCTGAGCGTCTAAGGGACCTCGTCTGTGGTACTCCTGCCGTCCCCACCGGCCCGCGTACTCACGTGCCGCCCGATCCACTTGTTGACCGGCTTCATAAGGAAGGAGGAGAAGAAACCACTGAGGTACATCACCAGCGGGATGGTGGCGATGAACTTCTGTTGGGCAGAGTGGGCGCGGGCACGTCAGGTGGGCTGCTCAGGCTCGGGCTGTACTGCCCCACCCTGCCCTGCCCAGCTCACCTTGGGCAGGTTGAGGGAGTAGGTGAGGTACATGGCCATGTACGTCTGGGACAGGTTCACAATGAGCCTCGTGCTCATGTACAGCAGGCCCACCTGTGGGCAAAGGGACGGTGCAGGTGTCAGACAGGCCCTGTACTCCCGCCAGCAGGGGCCACGGGGGCCTGGCTGCAGCTGGCACCTGACCCACTGGTGGCGACTGCTGGTCAGGGAGAAGACAGCAGTGACGGGTCAGCAACGTCTGCCCCTCCGCCGGCCATTCCCGCCTGCAGCCCCGCCTGGCGAGAGGTGGCATCCGCTGCAGCACGCTCTGCCCGCACACGGTACCTGGTAAAAGGCCGGCTCCCGAAGCCAGTGTTTCCAGAGCAGCAAGGGCTGGGCCGCGGCGGGGGCCAGCAGTGGGGTGTGTTCGTCCTGCGCCTCCACCTGCCGCCGGCGCCCCTCCCTGGTGCCCAGGTGGAACAGTATTGAGAAGACAGCACCGATGCCCACCACCAACAGGGCGAGGTTCTGGGGACCGGGCAGGAGCGGGGTTAGAGGTGGCTCTCACGGCCCAGGCCCCACGTTCAGGGCCTGCGCGGCCAGCAGCGGCCTGCCCCCAGCCCCAGCTCACCCGAAACACAGGCACGTCCTGGACCCCCAGCTGGTCGCTGACATCCTGGATGGGCCCCACGTGCGAAGATGCCTGCAGGTGGAGCAGGAGCCAGGCGGCGCCATAGACGGTTATGTTGGCCACCACGGTGAAGGCGTACCTGGCGGGGACAGGCAAGGCCTCAGCATGGCAGCCCAGGAAACCACACGGCCACTTCCTCCCCAAGGCAGCCGCACAGTCAGAGCTGCTTGTGGCCAATGGGTGATTTCGACCACTAAACCTTAGGTGGCCCCAAGGAAGTCCTGCTGGCCTCAGTTTCCCCAGCCTGCACGTTACCTGGTGATTGACTACTCTGACTTGGGACCGCCAGGACAGGGAGCTGGGGTGCAGAAGCAGAACAGGCCCAGTCAGGGCTGCAGCCCAAGTCTGAAAGCCCCGAGTACTTAGAAACCAGGATTCCGGAATTCTCGGTACCCAGGTCTCGAGCTTTGGCAGGGCAGGGCCCCGTGGCCTAGAACCATCTGGGCTGGCTCCTGCCTACGGCCACAGAGCAATGTCCCTCCAGGGGCTCGTCTGTGGTACCCCCGCTGGGGCAGGGCAGGGTGCAGGGAGCCTCTGGATCTCAGCAGGACTCAGTTTCCCTTTCTGAAAGAGAACGGTTCGTCCCCCGGAGATGACAGTGAAGATGCCACGAGGTTGGCCATAAAGCACTTGCAGAGCTTGGCCCGGCCCAGCCTGTCCCCTGTCAGCTGGAGCCCTTGGGGGCCCGGGCATTGAGCAACCCTGTCTGTCGTTAGCGCCTGCAGCAGCTCTCGGCCATAATGGGGAACTCAGAGGCGGGTGGGGAGGAAAACGATGGGGCCAGACATGCCGAGGTAGAGACGGGCGGGACCCTCGACGAAGGCGCTGCCCTGACCAGAGGGACACTCACTAATGGCACGGACTGCCAGCCAGCCTGGGCCCTCCCCTAAGCTCCAGCCTCAGCGGCCACCCCCGCATGTGCTGTCCCCCTTCTGCCTGGAGCTGCCATCTCCTGTACCTTTCTCCTACTGCATATGTCCCAGAGGCACCTCGCTCCAGCCTTGGGCACATGACAACCTGGGCTTCTCATGAGGGTCAAAGAAAGTAAGTCACATGAAGGGCGTAGAACTGTGCCTGGCATACAGCAAGCACTCCATAAATGCTCCGAGGGTCACCGAATTCAGAATAACCTCCTCTAGCACCTCAAGCAAGCAGATGGATAAGCCGGGTACCAACTGTATCCACCTGTGGCAGGCAGGGTTCTATAACGGTTCTGGTCCTAGCCTGGTCCTGGGGATGGGACTTATGGGCATGATGGGACGTCGCTCCCGTGTTTACGCAGCATTCTGTCGCACAGGATTTGCAGATGTAATTAAGGCAGGCGAGCCTGGGTGGGCCTGACCTAATCAGGCGATTCTAGAAACGAACTTAAGCTGACCCTCAGATCTGACTCTCCTGCGGGTCTCAGAAGAGTCAGCGAGCCACCATGAGCTCTACAGCCGCAAGAAAATGAATTCTGCCACCAATTGCGTGAGCAGGGCACAGAGACCCCAGGCCTTAGATGAGACACCAGCCCTAGCCGACGCCGTGATTAAAGCCTCGAGACCGTGAAGAAAACCGAGCTAAGCGGACAGACTGTTAACCACAGGGACTGTGACGTGATATGTTCGAAGCTGCTTTGTTAGGTTCACCGTTACAGGTGTACGAGCTGCAGCTGCGAGGCCCAGGGCCACCCAGCCTGGCAGGGCCCGCACAGAGAGGGTGGCCCCGGGTGGCCCCGCCTCACCTGTTCAGCATGCGCCCGCCCCGCCCAGGTGATACCTGAGAGCGGTGAGCTCCACCTTCTCGTGGTCGTTGGTGACAAGCTCAGGGATGAGGCTGAGGTGGGCGATCTGCGTAGCGGCCCAGCCGAACTGGAAGATGACGATGAAGGGCGCGTAGTAGAGGAGTGCGGCCCACTCGGGCGTGGTCGCCCCGCAGCCCAGGCAGGGGCTGAAGATGAAGGGGAAGGAGAGCAGGACACAGATGGTGCCTGTGGGTAGGCAGAGCGGGGACGTCACATCACTAGGCCTCCCCCCACAACGGCCCAGGGCTCCCCAGGTGCAACCACGGAGTGGCCCAGGGCTCCCCAGGTGTGACCACAAAAAAGGCTAGAGACCCTCCCGAAGTCACGCAGTGGGGTGTGTGGGATCAGCACGACAGGGCGTCCCAGGTTTATGGCCCCTGCGACAAATGGGGAAACTGAGGCAGAGAGCGGGGTCCCCGAGAGGTCACGCAGCAGGTCGAAAGGGCGCTGTGGGGGGGCCCTGGAGAACTGCCCACCACAGACGCACCACTGACACCCACAACTTGCCACCCCACTCCGCAGCTCCTATCAGGGGTCCCGTGGGGTCACGCGACCAGGGAAGCTGGACTCTGCCCTCCCCGAGCCCCAGTGTCCCCATCAGCTCCTCAGAGGACCTCTCCCTGGAAAACATTCTAATAGCCCCAAACAAGGCCGAGTCCTTTCCCCGGCCCCACACGACCCGCCCCTGTCCCTGTCCCCACCACCACCGCCGCCACCTGCTCTCCCCTCACTCTGCTCCGGCCACACGGGCCTCCTCCCACATGCAGGGCATAGTCCCGCCTCAGGATCTTTGCGCATGCTGTGCCCTCTGCCCGAGATGCCCTGCCCCTCACACCTTAGCAAGGCTGGCTCCGTTTCATCCCTCAGCACTCAATTCAAATGCCGCCTCCTCAGAGAAGTCCTCCCTGACCAGCTCGGTCACCAGCGGTCCCCTCCCTGCCCCAACACACTCTGTGTGGACCCCGCTTTCTTTTCTTCACACCCCTCAGCCCATGCAGGAATCCTTGCGTCTGCTTCCTGCCTGCCTCCTCCACCAGACTGTGGACTCTGCGGCTGGGAACCAGGTGTCTCTAAGTCTCTTCTGCGTCCCAGGGACCCAGCATGGAGCCCGGCACATCAACATCTTTTGAATGAGTAAATTATTTTATTGTATTTATTATTATTATTTTTTCACGCCTACAGCACCTGGTCTTCCTAGGTGGTCTCCCGTCCAGGTACTAACCAGGCCCGACCCTGCTTAGCTTCTGAGATCAGACGGGATCGGGCACGTTCAGGGTGGCACGGCCATAGACTTGAATGAGTGAATAAGAATAACGGCCTCTATTACAGCCCAAAGGGGTGGCTGTTATTGATGTCATTATCCTCATTTTTCAGCTGAGGAAACAGGTCCACTGAGTGGGCCGCAGAGCTGAGCGTCCAGCCTGCGGGACTCTGAGCCCAGCTCCCTCTCCCAGCCCTGCGCCAGGAGGGAGCCAGCTCTAAAGGTGACCTCATCCCCAGACCCTGGGCTTCCCCCTGCAGTCCTGGAACCAGGAAATGAAACCAAAACCAGCCCCATTCTTTCTCTGGAACTGGGAGGGGCATCCGGGGCAGATGGCTGGGGGCCTGGAGGCGCTCCGGGGCCAGGCACCCGTTGCAGACTTTGGTCAGAGGACTGCGCTGCCTAGGCCGGACTCCAACCCGCTGCTGCCCAGGCCAGGTTAACCATTGTCAGTGCCAGGCTGCCTGGCTGGGGGACCTTGGGCATGTGACTTTGCCTCTTGGGGCTTCGGTTTCCAAAAAATGGAGATAATGGAAATATCTGTTTCCTGGGGTAGCTGTGGGAAGTGAGCATGGTATGTGGAAGCTGGAGATCCTATCCTGCTACTCTGAACCACTTACCAGCCCAGCAGCTTCAAAGCCACGTTACGTCACGCCCTTGCACAGGCACCTTCAACTGTGTGAAATGTACCCGCTACACACCCTTCAAAACCCAAAGCCAATGTCCCATCCTCCAGAGCTCTGCTCCTCTCTCACGAAGGCCAGTCCACGCGTCCGCCCCAGCCTGGGCCCCACAGGAGTGCCCGCCCATGTCTGGCTCCGAGGATCCTCCGGGCCGGGTGGAGAGGCGGAGGGCTTGCTAAGGGAAAGACTGAGTCCATCGCCACCCACAGACTCGAGCAAATAGAGAAGTGGGCACTGGTGCCTGGGCGACCTTTGCTTAAGTCACCTTATCAGGCATCACGAGGGGCCACCCTGGCTTCCTCTCCCCAACAGACCCTCTACCCAGAGAGGGGAAGGGGTGCCGGTGGAGGCCTTGGTGTCTGATCGGGGCACCCATCTTCCAGGGTTGCATAAACATAAACTCTTCAGTTATTTACAAAATGCCTCCAGCCCCACCCCCCCAACCCCTCCCTACCTCTGCAGGTTCTTCCTGGGGTCAGGTGGGACCCTCAATGAATCCGAGTCCTCCCACCTATGAAGGGGCAGAGTCAGGCCTGGGGGCTCTGAGCTGGTAACAGGTCCCACCTCAGGGCCTTTGCCCTCTGCCAGGGCTACCCTTCCATGCTGGCTCCATCTCCTCAGATGGGGTTTCCCTTGCCCCTCAAAGGAGCCATTCTCACATACCCCCCATTATCCTGCTCATCTCTCTGGCCCACCTTGCTTGCATGTCAGTGAGTTGACCCTACTATTATAAACAAAACTGCCTTTGAGACCCTGGGGTCAGCTCTACAAGCAAACCCAACATCAGCCCGCAGAGGGACACCTCAAATGTTCGTTTTCAGATGACGCAGTCACTGATCTGAGACTCCTACAGTCTGGAGTGGCCCAGGCACAGCCTTAGTGTCCTCGCCTGACAAACCTGAAATCTGGCCCCAGGCTGCGGCCACAGTGATGCTAGCCACCCTCAGGCCACGCGGAGATCTGTCACCCACTACCTCCCCTGCTCATTGTTCCCAAGGGCAAGAAGACACCAGCCTGGTCCCTCCTGCCTTCTAGAAAGCTGCCGCCCAGAATTCCCCAAGTGGCCGGATTCCTGGCCCTGACTCCTGAAAAGACCTGTGCACCCCCAAGGCCAGGATGCAGCCGGCGCTCCTGCTGGGGGGCGGGACAGCAGCGAGAGTGGCTGGGGCCAATCTCAAAGCCCAGGGCCTGGGCGGGCAGAGAAAGGATGCCCAGACACACAGGCCTTATCACTGGTGTGCATTGGTCAGGCACCTCTCTCCTGGGGGCCCTGCCTCCTCCCATCCCCAACAGCCCCAGAGGCTGGCAACACCCCCAGGCCAGAAGGCGACCCACTGCCTGCAGACCCCCTTCCCGGTCAGTCAGGTACTGACTTGTAACTCACCGCGGGGAAAAACACTCAAGCGACAGGCTGCCCGAGATCAGGGTGGGGATGGATGGAACCCGTTGGGAAAACGGACAGAGGAGACTCTAGGCAGCCTGACTCTCACTCAGACTGAGTTGTCCCGGTGGTCACCCCCACAGACACATGGAGAGGTCAGGCCGGACCAGACAGACTGACAGAAGAGGCGCTGGGCAGTAAGACCCAACCCAAACAGACTTCAGAGGGTCCCGGGAGTCAGACAGACAAAGAGAAGCGGCACTGAAGGGTCACACCAACAGTCAGATGGAGGGGTCTTCCCGGGTCAGACAGCAGCCGTGGGGCAGACGGAGGGGAAAGACTCAGGCACGGGGCAGAGATGGAAGCGGGGCTGGGCAGCTGAGCAGTCGGGTGGCGGAGGCTCGGCCGTGACTTACCGACCAGGTGCCAGGC